GTTAAACACTTCTTTAGCATTTACACATTTTTTTCACTGCTTTTAAGATCAGTGGTTTTTAACCACTAAGATGTGCAATGGAACCCTTTTCAAAATTAAAGTCTCACATGAAATCGCAGTGTATAAATAGATAAAAGGCAAGTGCTTGTGATTAAGGCATAGGGGAGGGAGGGAGTTTCCCAGAGTCCCTCTCATTTGACCTGTCCCTGCTCTTTCTCTTCCTTATCAGAGGGTTATGACTCTAGAGAGCACTGTTAGACACTGTTCTGACTTACTAATTCTGCTTTTATCTTTATTGTTTCCTTCTTCCTATTTTCCATAGGCTTGTTTTATTGCTCTTTTCTGATTTCTTGAGTTTGGTGCTTTTTTCTTATTTAATACTGGAAACATTTAAGTCTATGAATTTGTCAGTACAATGCTGGTTACATCCTACAATATTTTATTCAGGCTATTTTCTCAGTAGGTTGTAATTGTAGTTTTGCATTTCCTCTCTGACCCATGACATGTGTAGGAGTATGTTTTCAGTGTCTAGGTGTGGAGGGGTTTGTTTACTCTTTTTAATATTAAGTTCTGGTTTTATTTTATTCTTGAACACAGAATTTTTCCTTTAAAACTCGGTACAACTTTCATCTTCTGATGCTTATTTTGTGGAGAGGCCATTTTGACTCTGTTGTTTTGTAAGCAACTTATTTTTTTTTTGTCTGAGTCCTTGAGGGATGTTTTCATTTTCCTTCAATTTTGAAAGTTCAGAAAGGTATGTACAGATGTTGTTTGTCCTTCCTCCCTCCCTCCCTCCCTCCCTCCCTTCCTCCCTTCCTCCCTTCCTTCCTTTTTTCTTTTCTTTTCTTTTTTCTTGTCTTTCTCTCTCTCTCTCTCTTTCCTTCTTTCTTTCATTTTTAACAACCATTGAGATATAGGTCATATATCATGCAACGTACCCTTTAGAGCGTACAATTCAGTGGCTTTTAGTATATTCACAGAATTGTGCAATTATCACCACAATAAATTTTAGAACATTTTCGTCAACCCAAAAGAAAACTTGAACTCCTTAGCCTTCACTGCCCAGTCCCCCTCCTTCCTGAAGCTGTAGGCTTCCACTAATCTACTTTCTCTTTCTATAGATTTGCCTATTCTGTATATTTCATGTAAACTGATTTATATGATATGTGGTCCTGTGACTAGTTTCTTTCACTTACCATAACAATTTCAGAGATTCACCCATATTGTAGCATGTATCAGCATTTCATTTCTTTTTATTGGTGAATAATATTCCATTGTATAGATATATCACATTTTATTTATCCATCCATCCATCAGTTGATGGACACTTGGGTTCTTTCCCAAGTGAGAGAGAACATACTGGCTATTAAGAATAATGCTGCTATGAATATTTGTTTTCATTTCTCTTGGGTATATATCTAGTAGTGGAATTACTGGGTCATATGGTGACTTTCTGTTTATCCTTTTGAGGAACCGCAAGACTGTTTTACAAAGCAGCGACACCATTTTACATTCCCAGCAGTAAAATATGAGGGTCCCAATTTTCTACAGCATTCATTTTTGTCCATATTTTTGACTGTAGCCATCCTAGGGAGTGTGAAGTGGTATCTCATTGTGGTTTGGGTTTGCATTTCCCTGATGACAATTGATATTGAGCATCCTCTCATGTGCTTGTTGGCCATTTGTATATTCTCTTTGGGTAAATGTCTGTTCAGATCCTTTGCTCATTTTAAAATTGAATTGTTTGTTTTTTTATTGTTGAGTTGTAAGAGTTCTCTATATATTCTACATTATAAGTCTCTTATCAGCTATATGATTTGCAATTTTCTCCTGTGGGTTGTCTTTTCAGTTTCTTGATGACATCCTTTGAAGCACAATAGTTTTTAATTTTTTGATGTCCAATTTATTTTTTCTTTTGTTGCTTGTTCTTTTGGGATCACATCTAAGACACTTACCTAATTTTGGAAATATTACCTAATGCAAGGTCACAAGGATTTGTGCTTGTTCTCTTCTAAGAATTTTATAGTTTTACATTTTACATTTAGGTCTTTGATGCATTTTGCATTAATTTTTGTATATTGTGTGAGGTAGGGATCCTACTTCAGTTTTTTGCATGTGGATATTCAGTAGTTCCAGCACCATTTGTTGAAAAAACTATTTTTTCTCCTATTGAATTGTCTTGGCATCCTTTTTTTTTTAAAGATTTTATTTATTTATTCATGAGAGACAGAGAGAGAGAGAGAGGCAGAGGGAGAAGCAGTCTCCCAAGGAGCAGGGAGCCCGTAGCAGGACTCGATCCCAGGACCCTGGAATCATGACCTGAGCTGAAGGCAGATGCCTAACCATCTATCTGAGCCACCCAGGCGCCCGAATTGTCTTGGCATCCTTGTCAAAAATTTATTGACTATAAATGTGAAGACCTATTTCTGAAGTTTCAATTTTATTCCTTTGATTTATGTGTCTGTCTTTATGCTGGTACTGTATTGTCTTGATTACTGTAATTTTGTAGTAAGTTTTGAAATCAGAAAATGTGACTCCTGGAGCACCTGGGTGGCTCAGTCGGTTAAGTGTCTGCCTTCCGCTCAGGTCATAATCCCAGGCTCCTGGGATTGAGCCCCTCATTGGGCTCCCTGCTCAGCGGGACGCCTGCTTCTCCCTCTCCCTCTATCCCTCTCTCCCCCAGCCCCACTTGTGCTCTCTCTCTCTCTCTCTCTCACCTGCTCTCTCTCTCAAATAAATAAAATCTTAGAAAAAAGAAAATGTGAATCCTCCAGCATTGTTCTTCTTTTTCAAAATTGTTCTGGCTATTCTGGGTCCCTTGAGTTTTCAAATGAATTTTAGGATTAGTTTATCAATTTCTGCAAAAAAAGCCAATTGAGATTTTTATAGGGATTCCATTAAATCTTTAGATCAATTTGGGGAATATTGCCATCTTAACAATAGTAAGTCTTTTCATCTATGAACATGGATGCCTTTCCATTTATTTAGATCTTTAATTTTTTTCAACAATTTTTTTTGCAATTTTCAGAGTTTAAGTCTTGTGCTGCTCCTGTTAAATTTATTTCTAAGTATTTAATTCTGTTTTATGCTATCTTTTTTTTAAGATTTTATTTATTTGACAGAGAGAGACACAGTGAGAGAGGGAACACAAGCAGGGGGAGTGGGAGAGGGAGAAGCAGGCTTCCGGCAGAGCAGGGAGCTCGATGCGGCGCTCAATCCCAGGACCCTGGGATCATGGCCTGAGCCGAAGGCAGACGCTTAACTACTGAGCCACCCAGGCACCCCTGTTTTATGCTATCTTAAGTGGAATTTTTCTAATTTCATTTTTGTTTTGTTCATTGCTACTCTATAGAAAGATAGTTTTTGTTTATTAATCTGGTATCTTGCAAACTTAATGAATTTGTTTATTAGTTCTAGTAGTTTTTTAGTGGGTTTCTTAGAGTTTTCTTTATACAAGATCATGTAATCTTCAAGTAGAGATAGTTTCACTTCTTCCTTTCTAATCTCAACTATTTTAATTTCATTTTCTTGTGCAGTTGCCCTGACTGAGCATACATGGTGGGAGCAGACATCCTTATTTTGTTTCTGATCTGAAGAACAAAGGGAAAGCATCAGTCTTTGACCATTAAGTATGATGTTAGCTGTGGGGTTTTCTTGTAGTGCTCTTTATCAGGCTGAGGAAGTTTCCTTCTCTTCCTAGTTTGTTGAGTATTTTTTATCTTGAATTTTGTCAAATGCTTTTTCTGCCTCTATTGAGATGATCATGTGGTCCTTGTCCTTTATTAATAGGTGTATTATTACATTCATTGAATTTTGGGTAGCATTTATTTTTATCTTTTAATTCAACTTCCCATCTCCTTATTCTTTAGCCTTCAAGGGACCCATTAAATGACAAATGCAAGAAACATGCGGTAAGCCTTGGAAGTTGATGATGGCCTTCCATGAAATTTTTAATTTCCAAAACTTTGTACCTCATCAAAAGCACTGGTGATGGCTATCTAGGATTTTGTTGTTGTTATTTTGGTGGTGTTGAATGGTATAAATGTAAAACAAATTTTTAACCATGCTTATGTAACCCAACTGTATAAATTCATAACATTATTTTGATAGCATATGTGACACAGTTGTATATGGCAGGCACTGCTTTTGGAGGTGGGAAATTTTAACTGTGTCATTTATATACTTTGTAGGGATGATAACCCTTTTTTGCATAATAAAGTATGTAGCTGGTATATCTGGCAATTGTAATCATTATCAATGTACTTTGTCTTTGAAAGTATCTAGATGCCCCCCATTTCTTTCAACATAACATGATTTGTTTCCTATTATATATTTCTATCATGTCCCTATTTTATAATGTATGTTCACATTAATTGCAGTTTCCTTCTCTTGGACACATTTTTCTTTTCCATGTGAGTTTCTTCACTTGGTTGCATTGTCATTTTCATTGATGATGTATTTGCCAATTAATTTTTCTTCTTTGAATGCCTGCCCTTTTTGTTCCTGATTTTGTAGTTCAGCTCTATTTTTAATTTCAGCTCTATTTACTGGTGTTTCTTTCTCCCTTCTGTTGCCCTGTGACCTTCTATGACTGGTCTGTAATATTCATAGGTTTAGGAAATTGACAGTCCATCCTCTGCCATCAGAGATAATTAATATTTCCATGTTCCTTTGAAATGGTTTAGAAAATCGTTATTTTTTGTGATTAATAAATGCAGTAGCATTCCAAATTTGTAGCAAGGTCTTGGATCATCCGAAGGCATCACTTATAGTTGTATTAAAGCTTTATTCATTTCTTATTCAGGTAAAATATACATGACATAAAATTTACTGTTTTAACCATTAGTAAGTATACAGTTCTGTGGTATTAAGTATATTCACATTGCTTTGCAACTTTAAAGTTTTTAAAGAGAAAATAATATCTATTTCTTAATCCTTCAGATTTTCCTATTTCTCCCTTAATACTTCTTTTCTGTTGATCAACTTTCCTTTTCTTTTAGATGCTGAGGACTTCTTGGGGGAAGGTTTGCGGAATGAGAATCTCAGTGCTACTGCGAGGGACCACAGAGACCATATTCTACGGGGCTTCCAACAAGTCAAAACTAGGTTTGTATAAACTGGGTCCATTTCTTGTCAGCTTTGAAACAATTCATAGTCAGTAAAATCTACTTTCATAGTGTATCAATCAACCAGGTAGGACACACTTACCATAGTTTTTTATACTTGACAGAGCCTTAATAAATTTTTACTGAGTTGAATTGGAGGTAGGGAGGCATGGTTAATGTAGCTAGCTTACCAAAATAAAAATATTTTCATCATTATGTATCTTATGATAATGAACCTGCTTTTAGCTTTAGATTGTTATGTTCATCTTTATTGAATGCTTTTGCAAAATGTGTAAAGCTAAACATTTATGCTTGTCCAAATTACCAAAGGGAAAATGTTAGGCAGTTAGAGATAATTGATTTTTGTTATAATTTTTGGTTCTTATTTTACTTCCACAACTCCTTCCCTAATAGAAAACTTAAACCAGACTTACCCAGTTGATTTTTTGACCATATTGGAATGTTTTAGGCTCAGACTCGTTTGGAGTATCATACTCATTGACTTTTTAAAATAAGAGGTCCTGACTGAGAGATGATGGACTCTGAAAACAAACTGAGGGTTCTAGAGGGGAGAGGGGTAGGGCGATGGGTTAGCCTGGTGATGGGTATTAAAGAGGGCACATTCTGCGTGGAGCACTGGGTGTTATGCACAAACAATGAATCATGGAACACTACATCAAAAACTAATGATGTAATGTATGGTGATTAACATAACCATAAAAAATTTAAAGTAAAAAAAATAATAATAAAATAAGAGGTCCTGACCTAATTTGTGCCTTTTAGAATGTGAGCATCTGGCAGATACATATACTTTCTAGGGGGAGAAAAAAAATAAAAATTTTCTTTTATAATATATTTCCTGGCCACTTTTTGCTTGAGATATGGTAACTGAATGAGAGTTGGGGATAAGTTGAGTGTTATTTTAAGCTTTCTCAACCCTATGGCAATGTGGTTCAGAATGTTTGAACTAAGCACTCTTAGAAAAGAGAGAACATCTGTAGGGTTATGACTAGGATTTAATTTGTGTGCCTGACTGATCTGAACATCTACTTTAGAAACCTCACTGAAACTCCTTAGAAGCAGGGAATTTTATCCTTTGGAAGGGCACAGTCACAATCTATTCCCTCCAAAAATGTGAGAGAACCTCACAAGATGCCCTGGTGGATCTTAATCGATCTTTCCTGCTGGCTAATTAAGCATCACTTTTACTCAGCAACTGGAGACTGTGTAATTATCAGCCTGGGTTGCCCTGAATAATTGAAACAAACAGAATGCAGAAGTTAGGAGCTTTTTGCAAAAGTGAGAATATCTATAATTTTTTGTATGCTGGAAGAGTGTTTAAAACAAACTTCTCCATAATGTTACTTTATCAGTAGATAAGTTTAGACTTACTTGTGTATCTGAAGCCTTCATTAGTAACCCATAGAATTTATTTTCATAAGTTGACCTTTGTATTACAGGATTATTATAAGGATTGCCTGAGGAATAAAGGTGGCATTATTTCAAATTGTAGAATAGGGAAGAGGGATGCCCAAAATATAATTGTGTAATGGTGGTGCTATTGGTATAAATTTGTGATAAGGAACGCAAAAAAAAATGTTACTGCATCTTTACGAACAAATATACAATGAGGAGGAATTCTCCTTTCCCATATTTGTACCACAGTGTTTGGAGGGGCTAAATTTCAATCTGAAATTGGTAATAAAAGGTGATTTTGTGGTAACTCATTGTTATCAATTGCATATTACTTCTTAGTCCTCCTTTTAAATGCATACACGCACCCATGCACACAGAAAGGAGCTGTATTTGTTATGGGTGGAGAGGGTTCCTTGTTCTCAAAGAACTTGCTGTGTGGTTTGTGGGATAGAATTCAGGAAATAATCAGCAGGAGCTTTAGGAAACCTCTGATGGGAGCTTTCTGTTCATTGATTTGTTGCAAGAAAGATGACACTTTATTTAGAATTTCATAATTATCAGATCACGGAGGAAATGAGGAGCCAGAAATTAGATACTGTACCAGAAAATGGAAAAATGAGGCTTTCCTTTGGCAAGCTGTTTGAAATTGCCTTACATCCACCCATTCAATCATCATCCTGTTAATGTAACCCTTATTTTACTGAATGCTCTTCTTCAGCCATATTGCTTCTATAGTACTGTTTACGGCTGGTCAACATTATATACTCTATGTATTGATACTGAAAGCTTTAATAGCGCCACATTTACTCTTGTTGTATGGCATTTTATCTCATGCCAAAAAACCAGGTGTGAAAAGAAATTTGGAAATCATCAAACTTGAGAGTTAAATGTGTATGGCAAGTTGCCATGTAACATGGAAAGAACCACTGAAAGTTGTTTAAAAAGTTATATCTTTAGTCATATTAAAGCGAGGATATTTTAGGGTTTGGTACATTTTGGGGGATAGGAACCTATCTAAAATTATGATTTGACACTTCAGGGCTTACTTGAAGGTGGATAAGAAACCTCAAGCAGGAAATCTGAGAAAGCCACTCAATAGATATAAATACTATGTATACTTACACACATACATATATATTTCCCCACACACACACATACACACAACTTTCCACTCTATCTTTGTTGTTTTCTTGCTTCAGTTCCTCTAATTCTTTCCTCAAGTTGAGCTGCTTGAGAATGAAAATGGTAGAGAGTAGTGAAAATAGCTCTGTCTCTGATTCTTGGTAAACTCTAGAGGCTTGGCCCTAATTTTTATGGTGACTCAGAATTCAGTGGTGTTTGCCACGGCTATGGAATTGCCCTAAGTCAAAGTGTCTGACTCCATCACAGCTGTTATAATATGCCGTTTGCCACCTTTCTTTTGTCTAGTGTGACCAGCCCCAGGAAATGAGAGTTGTGTCAAGAGTCATGGATGTCCTCCAAGTGCTCATCTGTTTTTCAGTACCAGTAAGCTTAGCTGTTCTCTTTTCTCCCAGACTTAGAAAACAAACAAAAATCATATCTGTATCTCTATCTACACACTAGTGTTTGTTTGTTTTTTTTTTTTTTTGGCTTTCATGTATCACCAATGAAGGATAATGTATTCCATGTAAGACAAAAAAAAAAGGTGTTAATTCCTGTGATTCCAAGGAAGTGAAGCTGTTTTGTGGTATTCCACGTCCTGAGCTGTGATACTCATTGTTCTTCTTCCAACTGCCTCATTTAAACCTTCTCCCTAAAATCTAACAGCTTTCGCATTCTGAGTCCAAGTTTTCATTGAGCTCTTTAGAGAATGATTAGAATGAAAGCCAGGCACAGGCTCCTCCTGTTTTATTACGGTGGTCACTGCAGGATCAGCGCCAGATGTGGGACACCTGGAATGAAGCAGACAGGAGATGCACTTAGACGCTTGACGGCGGCCTCAAGCATTTGCAGAAACAGTTGAGCATTTCTTAAAAGTTTGATTCAGGGGAGGCTATCTGACAGCAAGAATACCTTGAGAGTGGGGGAAGGAATGAAGAAAATAGAATATTTTTACTCCTGAGTTAGGGATATATTCTTTCTTGATGGCCTGTTTTGGAACAACTAGTCGTTTATGCTCACTGTTGGAAGTGAAGGGCAGAGCCAATGGAAACAAACTTGGAGTATTGTTTCCTTCTGTGAAACTTAAAGGAGCTCCAGAAAGAGACAGGTAGATTTATAGCATATCGAAAGGGAAAGAAATCAAGAAATAATTTTCTGTAACAGGATTATGGCACAAAACCCAGGACGTTTAATGTACCGAAAGAGTATTTTGAAAGTGTCTCATTGTGGGTGGCTAGTGTATAGCTCCACATGAAACATGATACTTTAATATAAATATAAAAACAATTCAGTTTTCTTTAGGAAGTTCAAACTTTTCTTTCCAGCTTAATATGGATTTAACTTTAAAGCAGGATTTAGCTTAAGAATGTATCATCAGGATTAACATAACAATAAAAAATTAAAAAAAAAGAATGTCTCATCAGGGACACCTGGGTGGCTCAGTCAGTTGAGCGTCCGACTCTTGCTCAGGTCATGATCTCTGGGTTGTGAGACTGAGCCCCATGTTGAGCCCTATGTCGGGCTCTGTGCTCAGTGAGGGGGTCTGCTTGAGATTCTCTCTCTCGCTCTCCCCCTCCCCCACTCGCTCTCTCTAAAATAAATAAATAAATCTTTTTAAAAAAAGAATGTATCATCAGATGTCTTTGTTTTATAGGAAGAGAGATGAAAATTTAGTCTGACATGACTCTTAGAAGTAAGAGTTTCAAAATAGTATACTGTAAATATCATTACCATTAATTACATAGAAGGTTTGACTTTTCATAAGTGCTGGTTATTGAGCTTAAATACCCCAAAAGAAAACGCACTCAAATGAAGCATGCTTGAAGAGAACTAAGGTATAATGTGCTATTAATTAATACGTTTGTGTTACTTGTGATTTTAGTTATTTGATCATAATATCTTTCTGATGTTTCATTTTGCTACCTACACTGGAGTTTCATTGCCAACTCAGAAAAAGAAAGAGGAGGAGATACTTGTACAATCCATCTAAGTTTCAATGGCTCTGAAAAGGCTTCAAAGTTATAGCAATAATTTGACCACATCTTGAAGGTTAATAATTCATTTCTTCCGGGTGCCTGGGTGGCTCAGTCGTTAAGCGTCTGCCTTCAGCTCAGATCATGATCCCAGCTTCCTGGGATCGAGCCCGGCATCGGGCTCCCTGCTCGGCGGGAAGCCTGCTTCTCCCTCTTCCACTCCGCCTGCTTGTGTTCCCTCTCTCACTGTCTCTCTCTCTCTGTCAAATAAATAAATAAAACCTTAAAAAAATTCATTTCTTCCTTTCTCAGTCTTATCCCTGCTTTCCATCCTTAAACCAAGAAAGGAAACAACCCCGCATCAGGGCTTTCACCGATCAGTGATATGCCAAATTCCTGTACTAGTGTTCTGTTATTCAGTGAATCTATGTTGAGATTTCACAACCATGTTAAAGGATTTTTGGGGATATACTTATCTGACAGTGTGGGG